CCGGAGCCAGATCTTGGGGCAGTAGTCTGCTGTGGCGATGGCGGCATCTTGCGTTGGATGGACGCAGCTGTCGGTATAGCTGTTCTGTGATGTTCCCAGAGCGGTGGAGGGAGAGAAGCTTCTGCTGCAACTTTCTCTCGGTGGCTGCCGTGGGGTCTCTTCGAAGTTCACGGTAGCTGCCGTAAAGTGTACATCGGAGAGACTGGTAGGGGCCTCCCTACCAGGATCAAAGAACACAGAGCGCATGGCAAAAAGGGGGAATATGAGAAGTCAGCCATCATCAAACATTCCCACGCCGAAGACCACACCATCAACTGGGAAGAATCTGGCAGCCCCTCCTCACCTCCCGGTCCGATAGGTCCTCTATACCCTAAGACTCCCCCCCCCGCCCAGGGTCTCCTATACCCAGGCCACCTTCCCCCACCACAGCCCATCACCAACTTACATGCATCAGTACCCAGGAGGATCCACCGTTCCACCTGACCACACAGCAGGATCCATCACACTCCAGTACCTCCAACCAGCATATAAGCCCCACTCCCTGTCGGCATCTCTTCAGTCTCCTGACAACGGACAGAGCACACTGTCCGAAACGTTGAGCCTCTCCGGTTCTTATCAGAACCACACAGACTCAAAAAAGAGATACTGCATGGTGTTTACCGCAAGCTTTCCATCTTAGTTGTCTGTCACCATGAATAGCTTGAAATCCCATCTAAAGCACACTTGTAAACAAAGCGTGATTTGATTATGTTACAGGTCTGGGGAATTAAAAATTTTTCGTTTCTGTGCAATCAAATTACTCAGTGTACCAGATTTTATTCAAATTTAACTCGCACATGGCTCATTGGACCCCTGTTTACGCCTAGCTTCTTTGACAAATTTTGTTTCAACAGAAGTTGGTCTGGGATCGATCTGATGTGGTAAGGTCCCATTGCACTCCAAGGACAACCAGGAAGACCCCGCTACGTTAAACATTTTATTTAAACATAGCTAAGACGGGATGAAACTCGGAAAATTGGATGAAACATTGTTCTTTCAAGATCGTGCTGGGTTGTTACTGCGTTGTCCGCGCGTGTGTTAAGTTCGCATCACAATCTCGGCACAACTAAACTGAGAGCGAGTCCTGGACTCTTCTAAGATGCAATCAGATAATTCATGATAAAAAAAACAGATTTCAAGACGATTGTAGGCCTACTACAACCATTAACAGATCATGGTATGAATGCATGTTGCTGTATAACGTATGCAGTATAGCAACCTGCCGTCATATACTTCCAATCATTCCCTTTGTAAATTGGCCGAAACAGTGCACCCAATTAGTTCTCTGACGGGAACGTCATAAAATTCTTCTGGATCGAGCTTCGCCTGTATCCTACGTCTATATAGATCCTACTACGTTGTTGATACGCCAAGACTGCGTGTATGCTGTTTTTACTAGACAGTTAATACGCTGTCACTGCGATTTGATACCACTACGATCCTGCTTCGTTAATTTGAACGTGCTCAAATTCCTACGATGTACAAGATCTCACCACGTTTGGCCACGCTCTCCCGATTTTTGAGGACGTGGTAAAGAACGTGTTTAAATGTCATGGGGATTTAAGGGGCTGGGATTTTTAGCCGTGACTTGGGAAATATGAAATTTTCACTGGGATGGAGTGTAAATCGGATTAGCGTAATGGTTCTTTCCTTGCCTTCCACGTCTGCTTGAGGTTCGATTCCTAACTCGGTCCACGTATGGAGTGGGTTTTCAGTCCCTACTTGAGTCCTTGGGTTTCACCTAGAATATTCCTCTGAGTTGTTTCTTCCACCTTTAAATCTGTAACAGCTTCTCATTGTCCCTGGGTTTCTTCAGGCTTGCGAGCTATTGGGCACTTTTGAGGAATCCTCGGTGTCATTACAGGAAATAAATAAAATAGTAATAATAATAATAAAGGGTTTCGGCTTAAAGTTTGCCCACCGGGTATGAAAAACACACTGTGGTCAAAACAAAGAAGCCAAAACCAACAAACGTGAGCCAACTCTAGCGTGCTTAATGTCAATAATTATTAATAAAAAAACACTATTTTAAGTGCAGGTGAGGTCTGCTATTACAAACCTACACCAAACAGTCGCCAAATATGCAAATTTCCTCTGCGTCTGATTATATTCGCTAAAATCTTGATCAATCATAGTGCGCCCTCTATGCCAATGATGCATAGCGGAGCGGCCGCCAAGTCCTTCTTTTTCGGTGTAGAAATCGTCTGAGTCAAAAGTGGGGAGGATTGGAGGGAGTCGACTGTTTGGGGTAGGTATTCAATAGCCTCGTCGTGGGGTAGTAACTACCAGTAGGAAGGCTAGATTCACCGTCAACATGAGTAGTGGTGCTTCGCTGAGTGACTCGAATGGGGGACTGGTCAGCAGTTGAAGAACGGCTGACAAGTCCCAGGTGGAAAAAAGTCTCTTGGTAGGGGGACACTCATGGAACATTCCCTGGAGGAGGTGTCTAAGGACGCCATTATCAAACAATGTCAAACCATCTGGGAAGCCATTATGCATAGCTGCGATGGCTGAACGGTAGTTGCGGATGGTCAAGACCTGTAAACCTGACTTAAACAGATGGATGAAGAAGTCGGCTACTACAGTCACAGAAACTTCGGGTTGGAGAAAGATTTCGCTCCGCACACCATGAAGTAAAATGTCGTAGTCTTAAGTCGTAGATGTTGTTCGTATATTGACGTCGGCTCCTTTAGGCCATCTCGGCAGCATCCTCAGAAGGTCCTGCGGAGCGGAAGGATCGTTTGACAATGGCCAGTGGGTCAGATATAGAGACGCCGGATGAGGGTAGAGAACACCGGACTTCGGTCGGTGAAGTAGATCCGGTCTGGTGGGAAAGACAATCGGCGTTCGGACGAGTAGTCTGGTTATTCGAGGGAACCAGGGTTGCGTGGCCAGAAGGGGGTGATGAGAAGTACTCGACATCGCTCTCGTTCGATCTTAAAAGGCACCGTCAGTATGAGTGATATTGGGGGATACGTAGGCCAGCAGCCCTTCCCAGTTGATTTGGAGAGCATTTGTTGCCCAGGCTTGTGGGCGATAGAATCTAGTGCAGAACACCGACAGCTTGACATTCTCTCCCAAAACGATGTTTGGTTTTTTCACTTCGGCGAAGATTTTGCTCGACCACGCTGAAGTGAAGGGTCCATTCCGTCGGGGGCATCTTGCCTCTAGAGAAGGCGTCCGCGATGGAGTTGTCGACACCGGGAATTTTGGCCGCCTGGAGGTCGATGTCGAGGTTCTAGGCCCACAGGAGTATCTGTCTGGCCAGGAGGCAGAGGTGGGGAGCGTGTGTGCTCCCTTGTTGGTTGATGTAAGACACTACGGTGGAGTCCGAACATATGAGAACGTGTCTGGGCCACATCCGGGCTTGCTCTGGGGAAGGAGACTCCGGAAGAGAGGTGTCCCCATGCCAGCCACCACTGGAAATGGGGACGAACGAGGTCGGTTTGAAGATGAAGGTCGATTGAGTCCCATTTCGGGTGGTAGAAGGCCAGGATATGAAGTTGCAACTGCTGCATGCCGAGCCTGCAGAGTGAGATGAGGTCCACCATGCTGGTCATCAATCCAGAAGACGGAGCCAGGCACAGGCAGGAGCCGACTGTTCGGAGGCGAGCACTCTTACGCATTCAACAGATTGTTGATGCGTTTGGGTGTGGGTGAGACTATTCCGATAGGTCGATAATCGCCCCGGATAAGTTGGGCGTTGAGTCGGGGCGAGATTTGACTTCTCGAGGTTGGTGATGAAGCCTAAGCGGTTTGCGATGTCACCGGTTAAGCGGACTGTATAGTTTGGACTTGACTCCCTGATAGGGGATGTTCATGGCGTCAAGTAAGGATGTAGCAAGGACGGAGACCCGTACGAAATGCTCGAAGATGGCACTGACGTCCTCATCAAGCGCTCGGGGTGCGACAGCCGCCAGATCTGTTGTCACGAGTAAATCCTCTTTACATGCACGGGTCAGGTACTCAGAGAGGAGTTTCACGAATGTGGTACACCGCAAACCTTTTCGCGGGCCTTGTCAAGTCTGGACAGGGTAAAGTCGGTGTTGAATTTGTCCTTGTCTCTGAAGGAAAGCCTCCCAGACTGTCTCGAAGTGTCAGCAGCTACCTTTTCTTTGGCGGCAGTAGGAATTTCCGGAACAGAGAGGAAGTTGTCCAAGAAAGGAAGTGGAAGTACGTCAGTGACCAGTGACGCGCATGGTAACTCCATGGGTACCATCATGTTAAGCCATACCTACTTCGAAACCACTTCTGAACTTTATATTAAGCAATAGAAGAGAGGTGAGAGCAATAAACCAGCTACACAGTTTGACATTCACCCAAACCCCTTGTATTCTGCTCATTTTAATAAATTGTTGACCTGGAATATATTAACAATAGTAAGAGCCATGAAACCAAAAAGCCTGATATACAATTATAGGGAAGGCAAAAGGACTACAACATCCAGGGTGAAGTCCTACGAAACCACCAAGGGTGTTAAATTCACGTCGATTTAACACCACCGTTTTGCAGTGAGAGGGGAGTACTACACTGACAATCTGGTGCATCAGGCTTGTCCTCTTTACATGCAAAAGAGTGACAAACTTTCGAAAAGAGCGAATCACTTATAAAACCACTCAAAAAGAGTGAAACCACTCTAAAGAAGATAATAACCACTCTAAAAAGAATGAAAACCTCTCGAAAAGAGTGAAATTCCCACTCTGCCAAGGAGCCATTATAAAGGACAACCAAACGCCAATCACGCATTACAATAGGCCTATCTCGTTCGAGACTCACAGCAACTGGGACCCACTGCGCCAAACGTTCCATATCCGTCAAAATCGCTCCCAGGGCGATTTGTCGGCCGATCGCAACGCACAGGTGTGTTATGAGCGTTTATGAAAAGACTGGATTTTGCTTAGACTTTGGTTTCGCTGGTTCCATCTGTTTGAAAACAGCATTCGAAACCACTTGTTCAGGCCCCGACAAGGACCAGTAAAAGCGAAGTACGCTGAATCCACTCGTTTCGAAAACGCCCTAATTGTTGAATTTTCTAAGTTGAAAAGATAACAATGTAGGCCTACATATATATCTATCTAAAGGGGGCATCACGCCGGCACATTATATTTCACTGCATAAATCACTTATCTTTGCGAATCGGCTTCTTTAGAACAAAGTCTGCAAACTAAAAAGATTAATGGGTGAATTATGAGCGAATAAATATGCAAAAGTTCATCCACAGACTATTGAATGACTTGTCGAATAGGGAAGTGGAACTCATTTACGTATTTAGTCGAACTGCAGTCAAGCAAACATGATGACAGCTCGAGGCACTGGCTCCCCGCTGGTTCAAGAAGGCTTAGAGGAACACCTAAAATTGATGTACCTGATGCAGGGGGGTACATTACCGGTAATGAAATGCTCCCCTAGAGCCCACCCCAAGCATCGTGGGAATAGAATTCCTTCTTCTTTCTTAATATTTCTGTTTCGTAATTGGGAATTTGTGTACCGCGACAAATGTGATAAGATGCATTTTGGGCAATGCCCCTTACTTTTTGTTAGCAGTGGCAAAAAGTCACTCTCTAGTTATTTTTTTAATGCTGAAATCGGCGAGGTGCCCGTCCCTCTCTAAGATCATGCAAATACTATAGGGTATGGTCATGGGGCCTGTGCCCAACATCATTCTTTGAACGCATTTACCGTCATGGCGTAATACAAAGCTTCGACACGGGAGAAAAGGCTGGTCCATGGACTGAAAAGCCCCGTCAAGAAAATCGATGTGAAGGTGCTCTTGGGGTTTTCCGCTCTCTAATTTATGATCCCGTGCCCGCTTTGGCACTCAAAAATTCGTCCAAAAGTGTTCGGCAAAAGTAAATGCGCGGAAATGAGTGTCAAGATAAAGAAACATGGTAAGTCTTTTTATAGAAATGAGAGCACTACAGAATCTCTGTTCAATGATATCATGGCGTAATGTTGGCGTTCGGCCCAGGCCTCCAAACGTACGAAAAGTATACCGACAGCAACCTCATACCTTTGGGCCTTTGTCCGGAGCAATGTTGATATTTGCTCTTTTATCAATGCACAATGTTACTTTTAAATGTCGAATTGTCATAAATTTGCGGTGGAGCGTTTTGCATACGCAACTTGTGTCCATTTTAGTTTTACAATTAAAACAGGCTGACAAGAATATGGTTTTGGACTTATGTAGCTGGGAAGAAACGAGGGAAGCGTATGGGTCTCAACTCCAAGCCAGATTTTTCAAAAATCATAGTTGAGACACTATACTGCCGTCTATAACACTAATGGAACAAATTTACAATCAGAGGCAAAGGCCGTCACCATCATGTACCCACGGGTGACGCTTCGTCAAACCTAAGCTGCCCATACAATATACAGGTCTACAGTTCCCTATAGTCCTGAATTACTGACAATTCGTGCCTGACTGACTGCACAAAGATCCGGCGATCGCTCAGTTGCGCCTAACATCAACAGGAACAAAAACACAAGAAGTAGACAAATCTATTAAAGCTCGAAACACCCAAATGACAGAGTACAGGAGTGCATTTCATTTTAAAAACAGGCGTCGTAGTTTTAACTTTAACTAGCTTTGCATTACAGTGCGAAACATGAGAAATTATAGCATTCTAAGACAAGTCAACATCTTCAGTAATAGAGAGGATTTTCAAATAGTTAAAGCACTTTTGTCGAGTATGTTTTCGAATATTTATTACCAATTAACCTGTAATCAAAAGCAAAGATATCTCAAAGGGACGTTGTCACATAATATCTGCTAAACAAAGAGTAACAAAAACCGGTGTTAACACACTAAAATGAAATGTAGACATCGTGCATTCCCGTATCGCTTTATGACCGTTTTGACTTCAATCAAATTGCACAAACTTGTACAACGTAGGAGCTACATTTACGTTGTATCCCAAGGTGGAAATTTTGGTTTGGGTTCGTACGAGTTTCTTCCATTTCTCAAAACTACAAATCAGTTGCAAGTGCGATAAACAATGTACATGCGTCCATTTTATCCTCGTTTTTCGGGTAAAAGGTACATATTCTAAAAGGTACAACATGGAGATTGCAAAGCGAAATTCCGTCAATCATGAAGAAACTATGCATCTTCGCATTGTTAAATTTATTCCTTTCCCAAAAAAAGTTTGCCGAAAATATGACAAGATCCAAAATGGAAAAAGCCTTGAGAAAAAATAATAAATATATCACATTCATGTGCATGTTTCCCTTCAGCATAGGGCAAGGGTCACGCCAATTAGTAAGCTTCAATAACTATTCCTCCAAGTGATGTTAAGCTATATTATTATGCAGATCACTGGCAGGCTTGCAGTTTCACTTTACAGGTGTAATTGTTCATGTTGCGAAATCTCAAAAATGCGGGAAAATTCCCCTATTAACAAAAAAAGGGAATTTCTGGTTGCAACTTGCCCCCTTTCACATTTGCAATATTTTGCAAATTTGTCCTTTTGTTGGCACAAAAGGTTGAGCACAGAAAACTGCGGGTACTGCAGTATTCTGTAGTTCAAATTAACCCATTCTGAAACTGTCTGTATACAATATATGGAAACGGTCTATATGTACAACGAATTGCGCACAAATATAAAAATGTACATGTTCCGACGCATGGTGTGTGTACTCCTGACGTTTTAGGGGGTTCCATGGAGGTATCCCAATACGACGCCTTTAGCGTCGATCTGCGCACTTCCACGTTTGAAAACGAGGCTGTATGTGTCGGCTTCAATTCTTAATACGTTCAGACGATTGAAAGTAAGCAGTAGAGACACAAAATTCATAAAGGTATGTTAAATTCAGACTTTTCAGGCTGAAAATTTTTGTGGACGAGTCTTTCAGGATGACCCGACACGTAAAATCACAAGAAAAATTAACCGCGATTTACCGCGAACTAACGTACCTGCGATGGTCGTGTACCTTGTGCAGTGGGCGTGGCTTAAACTGAAGTGGCGTCACACTTACGAACCTGATATTGCACGTACTGTGTGGACTCCGCGGGTGCGCGCGATTAACTTCAACACATGGACCCTCGATTCCGATGCAAATGTGCGCAGACGGCGCTAATGTGAAATCCCTCTATTGTAATAAGGCACAACTTCAATATGGACAACACTTTCAATATGCTTATTTATCACGGATTTAATCTACAACCTCCATTGTTCATTTGTATGGTAACGATGCAAAACAAGTATTTCCTTCTTACAGCAAAGCATTTCACAGGGAATAACTAGACTGTCACGGTCCAGACTGATTGAAGGTACAAAAATAACTACTAAACCATAATGTACCGTCGGTCATTTGTGCTTCTTTGCTATAAAACTCTTCAAAGACCAGAAGAGAGAGAAATATTTTTTACATATGTCATGATGAATTGTTACACGTCAGCCACAGCCAGACACCAACTTGTAAAAGAAAACACCAAAGAAGCTTCATAAAACTGCCTTTTGATGGGGAAATGAACTGAATACAATACGAAAAAATATTCAGACAAACTAGCAAGGACGATTAAAATGCACTGAAAAATAAAGTAGGATAATCGATAAATATAGTTTCAGTTTGTCCCTTAACACCCTACAGTAGATTAAAAGCATAAAGCATTCATGTAACTAAAAAATCTTTGAAAACATGGAGACAAAGTCTTTCAAAGTGTCATAATGAAAAATAGTGAAAATTAGAGTTGAACAAATAAAAAAACCTCAGATAAGAGTAAAAGAAAAGTTCATTATGAACTGCAGTTTGGCAACATTTCAACCTTCAAGCAATTTTCTTAGTTTAAAACATTAAATGAGCAGTGTTAGGTACAAAACGAAACACTGGTATTTTACATTGAACTGGTTTTATTTACAGTAACATTATTTCACGCAATGTGCACTCGAATATTTTGGCACACAACCTCAGGGCCCGTGTTTTTTTCCCAATACAACCAGGAAAACAAACACAAATACAGGTAGGCTGATTGCGCCCGGTAAGTCAAGTGACCTAATGTGGGTATTTAATAGCATCTAACACAGCATCTACCACAAGCAAAGTGTTTCATAAGTATCATTTACCAACACTGAAGCCGACGGTAGGACGGTACTCGGACTAACTGATGAGCAGGGTACTATACCGTAAATCGGCTTTATTGTTTGTAAAAACACTCAATATTTTTTGTAAAAAAAACCACTCAAAACACACTTTGCTATGGAAATGATACCCACTGGAGGTCACATGATTTAGAGAGTGCGGTCGGTCTCTACCAAGACCCAGGCACTAAGCAATGAGTTGCCTTTGTATGTGAAACTAAGTGGAAGCACATACTCTTTATGTGTCGACCTGCATCAGGAGACATACATGCATATTGTATAACTGTCACAGTTCGTCAGTTCCTCCTCTCGAACCCATTTTCCTCAATTTCACCCTTGCTTTATGGGCTTTCATTTACTGCAAGTCATACAGACGAGCTAATGCCAGCCAAGGTGGCAGATGAAATGTGATCGGAGAGTGTCATTAATATGTAATTGGCCAGCATGTCTATGAAAGAACCTCATTGAATTTTCCTACAAGCAACGATTGATGTGAGTTGCACGATATAAACAACAAGGGTTGATTCTTAAAAATCTGTTTAAAAGTGATATCCACCAATAATGCTGTAACCACAGAGCTATAAATAAAACTAGAGCGATGGCTCATCCATGTTTGTACACAAACCTATGGAAAACTTGGAATTTTTCATGGCTTTTGTAAGCCTTATTTACATATCTGCTTCTGTATTCTACAACGATACATCAAAGCTAATCTGCAAATAACCACACAATCAGTAAATGAGTGTTTCATTTTGCTCTGTATAAACAAGGCAAACGCGTGCGTGTATGCGCTGCAGATAATTTTGCTGATGCCCATTGCATCCGCATTGTACATAATTCGATATTCATCCTATCTGATTTCGACTATTCTACAAGTATGCACATGGATTCAAAATGTCTGCGCCCAGGACAGCCCCAAATTTTATTCACGTGGCGAATGAGAGGTTAGCACTCTAGTAATTAAATATAGCTCTATGGCATATTTTGTTGTCAAAAGGATAATTTTGAATCTGTGGTGCAACCAGCAACTGCCATAACACTTGGAAATCTATTCACTCTTTATACACTGTTGTATACATATTCATAATTGTCTTATTAGCAACTTGACTACTTGCATGTATTAAAGGTAACAATATTTACACATCTTCTCAAACCAAGAGCTTGAAAAATACTCTTTACTTTGACTACAGGTAAGAAATTGTACTGGTTCAGAAAAGTAGTCATTCTTTTGCTACTGAGTACATGAGCATAGATACTAGTATGTAAATGTATAAAATAGAAAAGCAGCACTATTCGTAGGAAAACAAGAAAACATGGTGAATACTGATTAATGTCTTGCAATGTGAAGTCAGCTATAACAAGATCAGTACTCCTCTCTTACAACAGATCAACACTGGACTGTTCAAAGTGGAACTGACTATCACAGAAAAGAAATCTGTGCGGAGCCTCCAACATGTGCACTAGCATGGAGACTGAAGCTTTGATGCATGAGTTTGAGGAGACCAGCTTCCCCACCATAACTATAAGTACATGTACATACGCGTGTAGGCACACAAAATGTTCTCACCGGAGAAGCACATCTGCTCTGTACCCAACACCCTCTCCCCTGCTGGCAAATAGAGAGGCCGATGAGGTAAATGGTTTAACTTGGCAGCCAGTGTGCCCCACAAGACAACAGGCCATTCTGAGAGGAATCAGCAGTGTGTGCTGTGCCCCCGAATTGTGCACATGCTAAACCATCTGTACATGTACAAGTAAACATGCATGTTAAAGCATGGCATTCTTACATCCCAGAGGCACCAACATGAGGCAAGTGCAGGAATTGTCACGCCAACTGTGCCGAATACTTTGTTTAAATACAAATGCAGCAATGGCTTACTCTGGGAAATATACAGTACTTAGTGCCATTTTGTTCAGCCATCCAACTGACCTCTGGTGATGAGTTGGGATGGACAAGTGGGCAAAACAAGTGTCATCCACTCTATGCATGGGGGCGCTATTTACAGAATGCTTTTGATCTATGTGCATTGTGGGTGCCCTTCATCATCATTCTGTCATTTTGACTCCAACAATGGGTGCCCTAAAGTGGAAAGTTAAGTGCTTTCACCACCAGGATGTGTAGCATTGCAACAAACAGATAAGTTCATGACAATATCAAGCCTGCTTGTACATGTATATTAATGCTTAAAGCCAATGTATGCAAATATATAAACACATTGCTGGTGCTTTACTGTCACAAACCCAACTGGTCAGAATCGGTTTTTCCCCGCAAACAGCATAAAGCAACAGGTTAGAGATCCAAGACCCTCACCGACGGCTTCTGGAGCACTGACCTCGAGCCTTAGCAGATAACCTCAAACAGGTGCAACAGCCGGGACATGGCTCGGTTGTTCTGGTTGCAGCGGTAGAGGCTGTCTCGCTTGCTGAAGAAGACGTCCACCACCAGACAGGCGTTGGAGAGGGAGGACAGGTTCAAGGACTCAGTCTCCGGGTCCTTCCTCGTGGACTCCTGGCTGGCTGTGTGGAAGACCACCAGAATAACCTCTGCATCACCTGTGGGGAAACAAGTAACAAAATAAAATGTAAAAGACAACGTTCCAGACCTGGGACATCAAGGAAACTTGAAAGAAGTAACCTCCATCAATCCTTAGCACTGCTTGTTAACCTAAGAAATGTTCTCAAGTTTCAAAGTTCTTTTTCTTTGTTCTTCTACCAGTAAAAAAAGTTCTATAACTTCTCAAATGATTCCAATAAGTGTCCGTATTGGGCAAACAACATGCAATTCTGTTCTTCAAATCTGTTTTAGCACCATTTTAACACCACTTTGCTCTTACATGTATATGACAATGGAAAAACATTTTTAAAATGAACAGTTATACAAAAAACTGAAAAATGCCCAGTGGAGGGTTCAATGCCCTTTTATGAGAACTATGGGATTGCTTGGTATTCAACACAATTTTTTGGCAATTTTAAAGTCATTCTAATACTAAACTAATTAAAAGTAAGTTCCTCACACTGGCAAATATACAATTGAGACCTTTTCCATTATTTGAAGAAAATCCAACAGGACAGTATTTCCTTGTAGTTTTGACACACCTTGCATGGCCTATTTCAGAGAGCAGGAGTTCACAGAGAAGATTTTCAACTTTCTACAAACATGAACTTACTACTGACGCCATCCAGAGCCTTGGCGATATTCTGAGCCACATCGTTGGAGGCCAGACAGAATACCAGGGTGACCATATGGTGATCACGGCCTGGGGACCACTCCTTAAAGACCAGGTCAACCCCCTTGGCAGCCATGTGGGACTTGAGGCGCTCCTCCAAGATTTCGTCACAGTCGTGGAAGTTGCCGTCCGACTTGCGGAGACAGTTCACTGCAGAGGACAATCAAGGACAAACATGACAAGGTGGCAATAAACTTACTCTTTTGACACAGGGAGTAGTGGGTAAAGCACTTGCCTTGCACATGGAGGCCTAGGTTCATTTCCTGGCCCACATGTGAGTAGAGTTGTTAATTCTCTCCTCTGCCACAAGGTTTATTCTCCCAGTTCTCCTCCACAAAAATAAACACTTTCCATCTCTGACCTCTGTGGTTAGTTACGCATCATTTGGTGGCCATCTACAAATCATACCTACATACGTTTGGCCATACCACATTGTACTTGTACATGTAATTTTGCCCTTTGCAGCAGCATTTAAGGATGATTAGCCCTCTCATAAAGAAGTGCATGTAAATAGTTAACCCTGACAGAGTCCAATCCTCCAAAAGGAGAAGGACTAAGGACTGTTTGGGTTAAGACTTAACTTCGGTGTCTACAGACCTCTTGGGTTTCAAAGGACTAATGAAGGCAAATTGAATTCTATGGGTCTCAAAGCCTCTTTGAAGTTCAAGTACAACTAATGTGGCATTGGGTTCTTATGTACAATGTAGTTGGGTTTTGGAAAATTATAGATGGTTATTGATAGAAATCCTGCGTGAATTTACTCTGAACTCCCACATGAGAAACTACCCTGTACAATGAGAAAGCAGGTAGACACATTTTAGAATAAAACTGTTAAAGCAGCTTGGCTAAGACAATACATGCTGTACACGTACATGCATGTAAAGTGGTAAAGTGGACCTCCAGTGTTACAGACAGACCAGTGAGTCAGATACAAACTGCACCCCTTTGTGTGATCCCAACTGCACTATTCTGTACAGGAGTTTTCCATCAATGCCCAGTACTCCTAAAGTAATACCTGAGACCAAACTGGTTCCGCTCGTCCCTGCTCCATTATCATTTCCCTTCATCAGCACTGGTCTTGACTTCTTCCCATTCTCTCCGGCATTCCTTGGTGACTGCCTCCCACTCTGACCATTGGTCCCGCCCTCCTTTGCAATCCCATTGCTCGCCTCGTGTCCATCGGCTTCCCCATTGGTCAGTTCGTTAGTCTGCCTCTTGTGCTCGTCAAGGCAGTTCTGCAGCTGGTCGTTGCTCTTCCTCAGCCTCTCATTCTCCAACTTGAGCGTGGCAATGTCTCCCGAGTCCTCGTCTTTGTCCTCCAGCATGTCGGTCTCTGAGATGTCCCCATTGGGGACCCCATTTTTCACCTTGGCACCGTTAGCAAGTTTCTTGGGCCGGGCCTTCTCGGCCTCTTTCTTGAGTTTGGTGTTCTCTCTCCTCAGGAGTTCCACTTGATGCCGGAGCAGGCGAAGTGCCCCATTCTCCCGTCTCAAGGCATCGATGAGATGCTTCTGAGTGGTAATCACGATCTCCGGGTCACAGGGGGTCTGTTCACTCTCAAGCATCTGGCCAAGACAAACAAAGAGATCGGACTGTAAAAAGCCTTGCAGAAATCAAGAGTGACTTTGGTTGATTAATTGAAGTCCAACCAGCTTGCATGCCAGACAATCAGAACCACTGGTCAGAAATGACACACATTAAACGGTCATATAATCACCCAATTTTTATCCAAGCTCCATACATGTGTTGTGTGTATCCCGTACACCATTCTACACCATTTCTTATTGTCCCTATTGTCAGTTTGTCACCAATACACCTGCTGCAAGGACCTTTTGCCAACTGTATCAGTATCTCTCCCATGAATGAATCATGTGCAATACGTGCGATGCTGTGTGAAACCTTCCCCAATTTAAATGTTTTCACCATACCTGGTTGACCCTGTGGATTAAGTCCTTACTATGTCAGGTGTTTTCCTCAGAATTGCTAGCCACCAGTTACCATTAAAACATTTTTTTTTAAATACTTGCATGTGGGGGTATGCAAACACAAAGTACATGTACGTGTAGTAAAATGAAGAAAAAGATCATTTTCAAGGATCTCTGACAGAGATGAAAAAATAACGTGAAAAGAGGAATTCATGTCCAATGTCACTGTCAGTCCTGAGTTGGAACACACTTTCCTGGCCAAAGAAGAAACAGACTGATAAGAAATTTTTGGCCCGGCACACATGGGAAGATTACACATTCTAACAGAAACTGGTTATGTCATTTGGCGCGTTCCACATCGAATGCATGCAATCCTGTGCACGTGTGTGATAAATAAGCCATTTGTGAGTTAAATTTGAATGAAATGTGATACACTGAGTTACCTGATTGCACATAAACATAACAATTTGAATTCTCCAGACTAAAGACATACCGGTAATAAATTGTGATTCGGGGCAAGCTTTTGCATAGCAACCGCCATCTCTGGAATGGACTGGTTCCTCTGTGCCCTTCTTCTCCATTGAAAACAGTGTATTGTTGCAAGGCATCTCTTACATGTATGTAACTAAGCAAAAGCTTGTCCTGAAACACAAAGTATAGCAACAGTGGTTTTAGTATGGAGAATTCAAGTTGTTATGTTCATGTGAATTAATGAACTCTGTGTACCAGATCTGGGTCAAAGTTAACTCGCAAAAGGCTTATTCCAGCCAAGGCGCCATTGTTGCAATGTAAACACACTTCATCTTTTGTTTTCCCTCCGAGTGGATGCTGTTTTTTAGAACATTTTCTTTGATTCTGACATTTACACGCAGCTACTGAATTTTCTGCACAACATTTTTTTAATGAATTTTAATGAAAAGCAAAAGAGCAAGAAATACCGATTACACAATCTCATTTACTAATTGTTAACAACTATGGAGTGCATGCATACGGTCTTAAAAAAAACTACCCCTGCAATACCACCCAACCCAACAAAAACAGAAAAACAGCTGCCTGAACAGTGAACATGTCTACTCTATCTTTCAAATCTTCATGACCCTGATGCTCCCCAGTTCTACATACATGTACAAGGTTAACTCAGGTCAACTTCTGTTTCACAACCTACCCATGAAGTACAGCTCAGTAAATTTCAAGTCTGTGGTGTTCCAGTTATAATGGCAACTTTTCAGGCTTCACTGCCCACAGTCTGTGTGAATTTGCTTCACACTAGTAAGGTGAGTAATCCACCCACAGTTTTCAGTCCTACAGAATGAGGAAATGGCCCATGGTGATGATGCATTCAACTGTTTGGGGGAAATTGATCAGGGAACCACAGTGTGCTCCATTTTCTACTAAGCTTTGATCCAAAACGTATTATTGCTGATCAATGAAATGTGACAAAAAGCTGCACAATGCCCCCCACAATACACATGGAAAGATGGTCAAGTTATGGTTGGACATTAAATATTTTACATCTATACTGTAGCTTTGAACCTGTACATTACTGTATAGCAATCCAGCTGACCTTGATAAATAATCAAGCCTTCATGTTGACCTCTTGTATCCACACACACTCTTACTTGACTCTCTGCAAGCACCAGGTGAATAAAAGTGCTTACTGCAGGTACATTGTATATGTGTATTATGTATCAATACTCAGTCACATGACTTCTGATACTTCAGCTTTTATATACCAGAACATGGATGTGCGTGGAAATTAAACGGTGCACCTTCGAAACCTCTCAACAACATTCAGGCAAATGAATAGAAATACACAGATTCCAAAAATGCATGCGCCTCCTTGGACATGGGTAGGCTTGCATTACGTCACGTGAAGTGAAAGACCTCTACACAGTACATGCATGGAGCCATGGTACATGTATGTTTTCCCAGTAGCAAATAATGCAGTTCATATGTGATGTATACATGTACAAAGTAAGTACTGCACTCTTGAGTGTGTGCAATTTGTGAATGGACTGTCCCGAGGCCTGTCTATAACATTCTGAATGTCATGGGGGACATTCCTAGGAACTGACAAAATGCAAGTCTGGTCACAGTATCACCTCACTTGTGGTTGTTAAATTAGTCAAGAATCAAAATTTCAAGGGGTGTGTCAGAATGGGTTCCACCAATAGGCACATGTACACTGGCGAGCGAAAGTTTGCCCGCACCCATAAAAAACGTTATGTGCTGTCAGTTTTCAAATAAAACATACTGATTAAATCAAGCAAACAACTCCAGTGTTTACAATAATATGTATTACTTTACATAAATTCACTTACGCTAGAAAAATTAGGTGTTTGGGGTCCCCTGGGTAATTAAAATGACGTTTAATCTTCTGTAACTACACAAAGTAAATGTATCCAATATGGCGGCGCCCATGCAACGGAAAAGACACGATGAGTGAATCAATGATTCAGTATCGCGTATAAGCCCCACCAGCATCAATGACCGCTTGGCATCGTCGGCCCATGGAACCCAATAAATTTGTCAGGATCTGAGGATCCAAGCCGTTCCAAATCCGCTGGAGAATTTCGAAGAGCTGGTCTTGATTTCGAGGGCGAACTTCACGATGGAGTTGCCGCTCGAGCTCGTTCCACAAATTCTCCAGCGGATTCAGATCTGGGCTCTGGGCGGGCCATTCCATCAACTGGAAGTCCCAACTACCCCCCATCTCTCGGACGAAATTTGGGGTTTGATTGGCAAGATATGCCCGTGTAATTCTAGCAGTGTGTGGTGGGGCATTATCCTGCTGAAACAGGAATTCCGTGCCAATCAAAAATATGACTAAAACTGAATAAAACAACCATGAAGGACACAGGGAGGGAAAAAAGTTATGTTGGAGGTAATTTTTATTAAAAAATAAACTCGAGAAAATTTTCACGGAGGGTGCGGGCAAACTTTCGCACGCCAGTGTACATGTATACCTTGGACAAATAGCCAGTACTAGTAGCATACATGTATATGTACACTACTGTAATCAAATGCTAACTCCGGGCTGGCTTCCACAGTCTGGACAACTCAGTTACCGGTACTACCAGTAGCCTATTTACAAGTACATGTACCTTCCCCTGAGAAGCCCAATTTTCTAGCAGACAATGCTACTGATGTCAGGGTCAAGGGTTGGGGGCACCAGTTCCAAGCTTGCATTCCCATATCTTTTGTGTATGCACCTGTGCATGCCTGCATACCATGGGAATACATCCAGTAGGCATACCTTGCACACACCACACAAAGGGCACAGAGCATTACATACATGTATATGTACAAGTACTAAATGATTATGAGTACATGACAGAATGCTCTGTTGCATGTACAGTACTGGACTGTGTGAACATTTCATGTCAAGCACTGAGGGAATATGAAACCTGGACTGAATTTATGACCTACAGTAGACTGAATGTGTTTTCTGTGTCATTTGATTTTGAGAAAAATGTAAGCACCATGACATGGGGGGAGGGCATGTTCAAGTTACGCACACAGACCCCAACTTACAGCACATTACATGTACATGTATGTATGTACATGCACTGTACGTATCATTTACAATGTATGGGTACCATTGCCTTGTACACTAAAGCTCTAGAGCTGCCTTGGAATTACTAGTTCCTACCATCGACCACCCAGCATGCCCAGGCTCCTGTTGTGCTGTATGTACAGGTACTAATGCAATCAAATGAGTCTGACATTGTGGGTAGCATTGTTATTTAAGGAAATAGGCAAATGTCTTCAATGTTACGTAATATATGTGCTTTTAAAAATGCTTTTACATATAAAGGAAAGTTCTTTTCATTTAAACATTTAGGAATTTATCATTTAAAATCAAATGTTGGAAAAAATGCCAGCCTGCCGGGCTTTAATGGTATTCATTGTTGCAGCAAGGCTGACGTTAAAAGTCACTAGCTTCAGTCCACCTGTCCGGGGGCTTTCGGGAACTTTGACAACTTTGTTGCCTTTCTTTCTTTTTCATAATTTATTCCTAGACAGAATTTCTGTTTTAATAGTCCAATAACATTTACATGTATAATGATGTCAAGCTTTCTTTACAACTGTGCTTTCCAAGGCAGTGTGGTGGGACATGGTCCATTAAACCACCATCCAAACGTGTACATGTAAGCAAAGTGTGACATCATTACATTTCGGGTAAATCCCAAAGAATGCTCAAACTGCACTTAATTACAGTATTTTCACACATGCAACAGAGAAAGGCTTACGAACCCCTCCCACACCCCACGTTTAACAACAGGTCAAGCCAGAAGTATTCTATTGGAACCCACATTGTACATGTACATGTAGTTAAAAGCCACCAGCAATTGAGCCAGGGATAGATCCTCACAATATAGGCTTATCCCAGAATGGCTCAGTTGCCCTTGAAATCTTTGTTGTGTATTGTTCTAGATTTCCATGACTTTGGATTGCCAACTACCGTTAACGTAAGTGCAATGAAATTGACAGTATACACCACATGGGATGATGTTGAAACAGCTTCAGATTGTGCAAACAGCAACTGTACTTGGTACATTCGGGTAAAATGCTTGACAACTGGTGCAGGACTGCAAATTGAAATTCAGCTGTCCAATGATTTTTCTAGCATGTCCAAAAGTCATGTTTTAAAGACAAATAACCCAATCTAAATGTTTTCTGTGGACAAAAAGGCACTGTTAATGACACTGAGAAAGGAGAGATATGACATGCCTGGCATAAGGTAATTACCTGAATGTGTAGCATGTTTGAAATAATTCAGAGCCACGTCATGCTTGGCATGCAAATATAAGTGTTCTAAATTTGCTGTGTTGCTAATTACCTGAGCTGAGTGACAGATCCTTTATTGAAGCTTTGACTCATGGAGTCAAAGCATGTAGGCCTAAGCCAGGAATTTATTGAAAATAAAATTGTATCGCAACCTGCCTCCCACTTTTCATTTTGTCCTATGAAAATACATTTTTACATGTACATGGCTATAGTTATGGAGGACGAAAAGTGGCAATCTGCTTTTTTGCTATCATAATGGTAGAAAAGCAGATTTTATGTTCTGGTAACATGCAATTTTGACTTTTCTTCTTTTCTGCCACCTCGAAAAGTAGAACAAACATTGTTTGGTTATGCATTTTTCTGCTTTTCTGCTTCAAAACAAGCAGATTTTACTGTTTCTTCATACGCTAGCAGCCGAAAAGCGGCCACCTGTTTTTCTCCTTTCGAGCAGGCAGAAATTAGGATCGAAAGTTTTGACAACACCCGGGAATTCTACTTTTTTCCTTTTTTTCATACGGGAGGAGCAATTTTTCATACATGTAGACTAAGTAGTCGACCGAAAAGTGGCCATCTGCTTTTCTGCCTTCCAAGGGCTGTGAAGGGGGTCGTGAACCTCAGGTTATGACCACTTCCTTTCTTGGGGATTGAAGACGTATAAACCAATAATTACAGTCCATCCTATCTTTTATAATGAAAGATTCACATGTTTTCCTTGGACCAAGCAAGCTTGTGTGTCAATAGCTATAAAACTGCATTTCCTTTGAGATGCTACCGGTATTTGCTCTGCTTCACAGGGACACTGATACTGCCGTATGGGATTGGTCCGCAGAAGGCATGGTTAAGCATTGGTTTCTATACGTCTTCACTTCTCCAGAGCGGAAATGGTCATTACCTACAGGTTCATGACCCCATTCACGGCCCATTGAGGAGAGAAAAGCAGATGTAAAATCTATTTCTCCAGTATCACAAAAGCAGAAAAGTTAAATTCACGGTTGTTGTCAAAACGTTCAATCCACTTTCCTGCTTGTTTGCCAGGTAAAAAGCAGATGGCCATCAAAAAGAGGGAAAGTAAAACTACTTTTGTAGTAGCAGAAAAGCAGAAAAGTGGAAAAATGCATTACAATAAAATGATCATTCTGCCTTTGAGGTAGCAGAAAAGTAGAAACATCAAAAATTGCATGTTACAAAGACGTAAAATCTGCTTTTCTATTCTGATAGCAGAAAAACAGATGACCACTTTTCATCCTCCATACTACAGTCTTAACATTTTGAACAGCAACGAATGGATTGTGGGATGTTTACGAAATAGCCACATTTCAATTTGGGAACTAGAGTTAGATACATGTACCATTACTGTGGTGTTACATGTACATGTACAGCACTCATGGGCAAGTGGTACATATACTGTACATGTACATTACATGACACTTCAACCATGCTTCAACCAACAGGGTGTTACATGTACAATGTACATGTACGCATTTGCTGAATGCACACACGCATCACATCCAAGAAGGAACAAGTTCGTGTGGTGTCACTGCATTTATGGCATCTCCTCAGATTAGTCTTTTAGCCCTAACCTTCCCCACCCACACAGAATTAAACAGTAGTAAAGTGCTTAATTCTGTGGGGATCGGTCCGGTTGGCCATAACAGCTGGCTTTTGCATTGGGTTTGGCATACATGTACCTCAGAAAAAAAAAGTCCAACAGCCTCTGTGCACAAAGTCCCATATGGGTGTTAAACATTGTGTGAATGGGGAAGGTTAGGGCAAGCAACCCTTGGGGGTTAGGGTTAGAAAGAAACTTCTCACTGCATAAGTAAAGAAAAATGTTGTTTGACAAAAACGGATCACTTGGATTTTCAAATAAAATTCACTGAAAGTTGGGGTTTCTTGATGTACATGTACACACATTGCAAGCTAAAAACAATGCTGCAGCAAACAAGGCAAGTGCTAAAATTAGCCTTGTTAATTTGCATATCATTTGTTTCAGAGACTGCAATTTCACTGGTCTGGAATACTCACATGCCCGGGATTTCACAAAGACAGTGACATCAACCCTGATACCCCAGTCATTTTTGCTACATGTATGTATGTATGTACATGTAGGATGGAAACTGGATCCTGCAAAATCCTCCAACTGCCTCCAATTAAAATTGGTACTGACACTAACAACCTCAATCTTCCAAATGTTTCCATTATTCAACATTCTCTAGCAATTCCTGAGGCAGCGCACATGGTACACATGCTGGAGCAGTAGGGATGTACTTCAAACATAAGGACTGAATTTACATAGATGGGCAAGCACTGATTGTAATTGTAATGTCGATGAATGCAATAACTTACTGTCTCACTTTACTTTGTATCAAGCCAATGGAAAATACATTTCTATGTGAATTTTTGCATGGACAGTTATACATTTAAATCTTGAAATCTTGAAATAAACAACAAAAAGTTCAGCCCAAGACTTTGACAAATGTACCGGTATCCTTCATTATCAGTCACACATTTTTTGCCATAAGCCTCAATCCTCCCAAATCCTCCAAAAACAATTGAAGGATTTGGGAGGAATTGGGAAGTACTACTTCTACTAGAATATATAGGTACTTGTATGTACAAGTACGCAAACATTCCTGAAGGTCACTTTGCAAATTTTCACAGAGGATCTGCATGGCCCATAAGAAGTTACCCCGAGACAATGCGATTCAAGGTTTGCTGAGTGCATCTTGTATCTATTGATCAACTGGCACGAAATACATGTACAAAAACTGCCAATTGCTGGTTCAAGGAAAGTTTGTTCTTTACACCCTCCAGGATTCATGGCAGCATCCCTCAATAATAAAAAAAAACCACATCCATGTACACGAGTGCCCCACATCACAGCAGAAAGTTCCGTACCCACCACCAGTGACTTTATCTTCCTTAATCATGTTAATACTTCCTCTGAACTACCAAAAAAGGAACAATCTGACAAAGAAACACTACTTCAGGAGTGAAAACAATTAGAATTTTCTGTGAAAATACTCAGCGTTTTCTCATGGCCCACAGACTTATGGAAAAGGTCTACCAAATACGGCCATGATGACGGTGGCCAGACAAGGAACTACTTCCATGCCGTCAACATTTGTTAAATCTCTGTTGATCGAGTTTCAACTCATACACTCTAGATCAAGCTGGCCAATCTGCTAATATGTATCAAAAACTAGTTTGCACTGATTCCTTGCATTTCGTTAACTGTTCAGGACAGCCACACAAGGTGTCTGTACAGTTATCTTAAAGCAAACAGACACAGATGGTGCTATTTTTGGCTGAAACAATGACTTCCAAAAAAGCATGATGATGGATTTGGGGTGCAGTGCATAAAATTTCCAAAGTAGGCCTACATGGAGGATAAAGAAACCAGAGAGTTTGTTTCAGATTCCCGGTTTTTTCCCTAACTTTTATTGGAAATGCAGACCCTCCAGCAACAAACACAGAAATTGCCCCGTAAGTCATGAACACATTCAATGTCCAAGACTATGATCACTGAAGAATTCGAAACAAACAGATAAAAAGTGTGGCAGTATATTTCACTGTCACATTTACATAACCTCTTATAAAAGATCATGTGAAAGGAATGAGTGCCATGTACGGACATCACGGACACCCTGTGCACAAACCCTAAGAGACTAGTCTGGAAAATTCTACATCATGTTTTCTATTCTATCTACTGGTACCTTGTAAATACTTCCACATTTTCACTGCTAAAATTGACTTTTTAGGACATACACATGTACATGTATTTCACTTTTTGGTGGCTAATAAACTACCGCAAGGGAAAATTAGTGATGTCCATAAAACTCTTATCCACATGAAATCTGAAAACGATTTTAAAGGTCAGGCCTAAATGAATTCGTTTGTTGTGAATGGTGGACGATTTATGAACACTTACAAAAAATGTTGGCCGGGGCCCCAGAATTTATCATTTAAAATTCTCCCAGTGACTGATGCTTGGACCAGCTTGCAGTGAAAGACAGGTTACAGTGTAGGCCTAGGCCCTACATGATGACAACCGGCAACCACTCATGTATATGTACACGTACACATGGTAAAACGCACATGGGTTACAACCCCACCATGCCCATTGCACTGACTTACACGAAGTCTCTCAACCAACTTCGGGATGTCATCTTCGTCCACGTAGCCTAGCGAGTCTTGCCCCGAACGATCATCTGGATGCTGGCAAGCGTGAGGTACAGCATTTTGCAGATTGTACTTGTTCTTAGACCGCGATCTTCTAATCGTCAACCATCCAAGACTACGATTCTTTGACTTGTTTTTGGGCAACGGAACAGGGCCCAAACCTTCCGCCATCGTGCATAGATACATGTACACTGTACGTACCTGTAAAGCGTGTGCATTATGATTTCTAAACGAGTAGATTGTATTGTATAGCTGTTGCGGGTAAACTCGACACCAGTCTTCTGCAAAGCTCATGAGTAGCCAACCGGCGAACGATTCTGAGAAAAAAGGGGAAAAGAGACGAAAAAAATGACTTTCTTTGAAAATCAGCTGAAATTTCCTTGCCGTTTAGCACGTTAAACATCCGTTTCTTTTCACAATTTCCGGGAGGCAGTTAATGAACACGCGTACTGAATTTTTCAAATCACTTAGAGAAAGTTTAGGGTTCTATGGTATGAACCACACGGTTCAAAAGTAAACCCCAGTCTTGGCCCGGCCCACATGTTTACTGACTGATGACCAATGATGGGTGTGTCTCCCATTGATACGAACTTTGGTTGATGAACTACTGTGAACAATGCACTGAGCCGTTATCTTCTGATGTTGTAACCGTAGTTCCTACTAATTTGGATGGATTTTATGCACAAAGTTTGTTGGAGCCATGTTTAATTATTAAAGAAATAAAAAGAAACAAAAACAGCCATTGTTCCAGTGGCATAGCTAGGATTTTACTGGGGGCACAAGGGGCACTGGCATGTTATGGGGGGTACCAGCTTTCAGGGGTGTGGTTTGTTTGGGGCAAGCATTTATTCACCTTGTTCAATATCCATTCATCTTTTTTTTAAGTGGGAGGGGGAATCGGAAATTTGTGGGGTGGGGGCGTGCCCCCTGCTCGCCCGTGGCTACACCACTGCATTGTTCAAAAGTCAACTTGTTTCTCGTCCATGCAAACTCTCAGCGTTAGTTCACAAAACCCACACACGCAATAATGTTAATATCTCGAGGATACGCGGAGCATGTTCTACAAAGATTGCGCTGTAAATTCACGCTGTCTCGATTTTGGATACCGATCGATGTTTATTTAAAATCACAGTTTTTGAAGTCGGCAAATGCTCACTACGAATGTCCTATTGGACTCGTACATGGACTCCCGCAGAAAAAAATTAAAATAAAATCAAGTGTCTCGCCCCTCATCCGGATAATTCTTAGACAATACTTGTTTGTAATCTTGTCATATTATTGCATTTTGGGTGTTCGGACTGAAGATCTCTTGTCTGTTGTCGATTTGAGAACTATACGATAAATAAGATTTTCTATCGGTGTTTGCTGATGTTTTAAGTTGCTAAAGCAGGTGGAAGAAAAATGTATTTCGAACAACAAAGAACAATTTCGAAATAGGCACGAACGTGAACTTACAAAAATCGTGAAAATTAATGTGCATTGGATTCTGCCAGCCGGACTTCAACATGGGGATTTAAATGAGATTGCTTAACTGCTTTTCGTCCATGAAAGAATCCTCACCTTCAAGAAAACAGAGAGTATCGTTTTTGAAGTTTTGGTGCTGTCTGCTCCTTTATGGCAACATGTCTCTACGGGCCAACCTGGCCCATGACACCCTCCTCAACGGCTCCGCTGGACACGCTACTGAAAGCGTTGGAGACAGACTCTGTGCAGGGAAATATATACGTCCTTCCATTTCACGAGGATCATCCGTCATCGCATCCTCTATTACAAAAGGTTGGCGGCTGAGAATTGATTTTCTTTTTAATATTGAAACTTCCCACTGATTTATTGATGACGTCGTTGCTGGTTTAATGTCACTTTGAAAGGACTACGATTTGGATGCTGGTATTTAACACGGATGTACACGTAGATTCCTTCTAAAAAGACAAATTGCTGCATGGATGCATTTATCAACTGTAACAAAAACGTGAATAGGCTTATACGGTTACGTAAGAAAGTCTGACTCGCATCAGTTTTCTTGAAGGTTTTTTATTCCAATTATATAATTTTTGTTTAAAAAAGGGGAGAAGCAACCAAATCAATAAGGAAGCAATCTACAAAACTGAATTTAGCCTTTAACACAATCTTGCGACACTTTGAAAACAGGTTTAAATGCTAAACATTTGGTATCTGGTTCTTATACATCATGCAATGTCAAAGAACGAGACACTTTATATCAAAATTCTAAACACGTTCAACATTGTTGGCTAAAGACAGTTTTTGCAGTAGTACAATACCTGCAACAGCATCCCAGGCGTCGCCAGGAATTACTTGGGAATATTATGTAAATCATTCTAAGGGGGCGGGGCAAGCACTCAGTCGGAGCAGACTAACAAACTTCCACTACAGAGAGTCAAGATCCAAGGCATTTTCATGGAAACTGCGAGAGTTTTTGTCATCCAGTGTCCTTATTGCATTGCTCTCTTTTCCTTTGTCCCATATTTTCCCCAATCGTCTGTTTTAAGGGGGGGAGGGGGAGGACTCGCCCAACCTTTGGTTTTAGTCGATAATTAGTTGAACAGAAAAAGTAAATTAGTCACAACTTTAATATCTGCACAGCACATGGTGAGTTTAATATTGGGGAATCATTTTAATTTAATATTGGAAAATTCAGATGCTGATTTAAGCATGCGTAAATCAGTGGAACCCAACGCGTGAAAAAATATTATAGTTCAGCCAATCGATGCACAACTTATCTTAGGAATGAAGGATAACGATTAAGATTGCTTAGCAGTCTATATTTCAGGAGCAACGATTTCCCTTTATTTTTACCTTAAAAAAGCAAGAAAATTTACACATAAATCACAAAAGTCAAGGTACGCCGTCTTTAAAAAAGAAAAACTGTTGAATATTCCATTCGACATTTAATCAAAGTTTAAACATGGCCGGAAGAAAGGGTCAATAATCTAAAAGCTTTTATTCAATCGATCTAACTTCTCACTTTGTGTAGGTTTTAAATTGTGAGATATTATGTCGCCTCCATCTTCTTGTCTACCAACAGCCGATCTTCAGGGCAGAAGTGATACTGTGAATTCAAGACATGAAAGAAAAGGGTCCTTTAAGTAATTTTCCAATTAAGCCAACTTCGCTTTATTGTGTGCCATTTTGAATAGAAGGGTGGGCCTTTCTGTTCGATTTCAATGGTTGGAAACTGTTCGTAGCCTCACGCTATATTTCATGTAATGTGACCGCATCTTTATTGATTACTTTACCAGACGTCGTACTTCAAAGTACTTGCAAAGTTATAAAACACACAAAAAATATGCATTGCCTCTGCATATTACAGTTCTGTTTTGTTTGTGTCTAATTAATGACATGATAACTGATCATGAAGTTCAAACTCGTAGATCCACATGATACTCTGTGGCATCAAACGCCGTTAGACAGCAAGGAAATGGTATGAGGTACGCTGGGAGCCACGGTCCCCATGGGAGGCAATTATGCACCCATAGGAGGCATAAATGCACCCATAGAAGGCAATGGAACTCAAGTTGACATGCACATCTTTTTTTCCAAACTTCTTTGGAAGGAAGAGTTGAAACTTAATAGGTTAATATTACATCTTTTGTGGTCTTCGTAATAGTAGAAAAAGAGAATTTTCTTGGAATTCTATTTGAAAATCTGATCCTGTCTTATAGAGGTGGAAAGTTTTGAGAGAAGCAGGGTTTTACTTGATTTTCGATAACTGGCGTCGCTTGCGAAAAAAGTGTCAAAATTTTAAAGTGATATAGGAGACCCAAACCCCAAGCGTCTTAAGCTGCATTAATATTCTACGTGCATAGACGATCACACGATAAAAGTCAGAGTACTTACTCGGATGTTTGGCTGTTGGTCAGGTCACAGAGGTTAGCAAGGACATGCATTTGTCCCCAGGCGTAGGGAAGCTGCAATGGAAAATAATTAAATTCTTTACTGAAGCCTTCACAAAAGAAAACTACAATGCGTTTATAATCTATATGGCTCTACCACATTTCTTCAATATCTGTGAAATGGAAAAGCCATGCCGGCTTTTGTTTTATCTTGACTCCCAATCTCTTATTTGCTGGATCAATTATAGAGAGAGATCAGTTCATACAAATGCATTATAGGCCCTAAGGCTAAACTATGGAAATATCTGGATGCTCTATCTTGAAAATGGATCGTGCAAATGATTGGAATCTGCAAAGAAGAACAGGCTTCGCTGAACGAGGACAGGAATCCATCATCGTCATGTTTTGAAGGGTAAATACAGAAATGCCTAGTGCCTTAAAAATGAAGCAAAAAAATCCTGAAATACCCAATCAACATCAGAAAAGATATCAAAACGGGAGTGACAAACCTCCGTCATTTTGAAGCACACGTCGCTGAATGTCTGCACCGCAGCCGTGAAGCAATCCCAATTCTCAACAGCGCGCCCTCTTGTGTTCATGACCGTTGCAGTCATCATCGTATCTCCCTTTGTCATTTTTATGACGAGGTTGTACATCAGATCGTGCACAAAGCTTTGTTTCTAGATTAAAAAAAATAATCTCGGGCTATCGTATCAAGCATGCAAAGTAATACACCGTAAATTCTTTGGCAGAAGATTCGTTTCTTAACATAAGATTGCATAGGAGCCAACATGTATTTTTTATTATCATCATTGGGATCAGAGCTTTTATATTTAATTCTTAAATAAAAAATTAAATTCATCGATTTTTTTTCGCCATACAACGCCTTACGTCTGCCAGGGCAGCAACCTCCTTCATCAGCATTCTTTTCTGCACTGGATTGGTCGTTGCCTCAAAGCGTCGAACCAAAATGTCCAGGGGTACGTCGCGGCTGTCGATGGCATTCAACTGCGTTTGACAGAGGAAACGCCTGAAATCAGTCTGACTATATATAGGGGCTAAATATCCGTTTAAAACTTTGAATTGTGTTGCAGTACAATTTAACACCTTTGGGAAATCTCTGAATAAATGGAAACTCATATTTATTTGAATATTTTTTCCATATTAAAAAGCCTACTGGGTAGCTAAAGCCTCCTGCATTCACTTGCAGCAGGTTCGTTATATAATACTGAACAAAAGTCCGACTTCATTAATACTTTTTATAGAGCTACATCGACTGCAAGCGGGGGTTTCACTATGGGGGAGTGCACTGCTGCAGGGATGGCATGTTCCCCTATTCCCCAGCCCTGGTGCCTCCTTTTGAAATCCTTAGATGAACAAAAGTATATCCAAGCCACAGTTCATTTACTTTCGGTGCCCCGGCCTTTCATATACGTGCTGGTCCCAGGCCTATATGGTTACTGGCTTATAAATGTCTGCTAACAACACGGGTAAAATTTCAAAATAAACCACAAAGGCTTTTAGGCGACTTCATCTTACCGGTGATGGTGGGAAAGGCTTCCCTGGAACCGATTGCTGCCCTCCGTTGCCCTGGAAGTTGATCAGGGTGTTCTGGTCGAACTTAAGGTCTCCGTACTGATGAACCACGCTGGTATTGGTTTCCTTCTTCACAATCATAAACTGCTGTTCCAGAGTCTCCTTGGTGAGATCCTCCTATTGATCGACCAGACACAACATTAGTTGTTCTAAGCCCAGGAAGAGGTCCGGGGTTTCATACAAACCATAAAGATTGCCGACCAAAAACAATTATCTTAACAGAATGGAAGCTGGAATTTATTATGATGTACAAATCCTGGGACACTGTTCTTTATGATTCTACAAAATTTACTCAAGATCTTTAAACTGTTGGACACTTATTATTAATTAGAACTATAACTTCCTTATTCTAATATGCAACAAACATTGCTCAACAGACTATTTACAAGGATCCACAAATTTGACCAGTTTTACCCAAAGACTGCATCAGCCCCTTATATATTGGCTGGTTTTCCGTTTCCTGTGCACCGTTATGATATTGTTTGCTTCAGCTGTTTGACATTGTTTGTAGACAAGTTGTTGACCTTTATTTGCATTGTACAAAGTCAAAAGGTGTGCGTGATTGAATTACAAACTTTAGTATTCGTTCGATATGCCTAATTTTCAGAGATATCCCCTCTGTGAAGCATTTTGAGCTGATTGTAATAAAAACTCTGAAAATAATTTATAATTTCCACGCTAGTTATACTTGTCCGCCCACCTAGACAAGGATTCGGCATCGTTGATAAGGAAGCGCTTCAAAACTATACCTTGTCTGAGTCCTCCATCCACTTAACACTGTACACGTCGCCAAGGTAGGTCCCCAACTTCTCGTCGAAGTAGCATGCATAGGAGGAGGTGTCCGGTCCCGCTGCTGTGGTGGCATAAATGTCGATGTTCTTAGGGAGTTTCAGAAACATGGAGCCCGACTCGCAGGCTTCTAGGTAGAACACCAACTGCAAGGACAAAAAAACATCAATTGAACCCAGGGAACTTTGCGTTAATTGTTTTATTATTTCTTTTTATGACTTTGGTGACACATCTAAAACCGGCAAATGATAAACAATCAAACAAACAACACAAACATCAGACTGACAATATCCCTGCCCCCAATGAAGAATTACAAAATTAGGGATAACAATCTTTACATTATCAGATTACATGAGTATATTATATTATTAATGTATTATACATGTACATGTACGTTTACAATGATCTAGTTCGATACATCACAAAGGCAAGGTCTTTCGGGAATAAAGCGCAGTACACTGTAAGAACTACAATGTACAGTGCGATATTAGCTCTCCCGAGTGGAGCATTAGCAGGCCTAATTCTCTTTTTCAAAGTTTACAATGGATCGGTCAAGCTACCGATCCAATACATAATTCGAAAAAGAGCAGTACTAAGAGCCAGTTCGATATCCAGTTAATACATGTACACCACAACATTACCTTTGTCAAGTAATTTTTATGGTCGTTTGTCAGTATAACGCTGCAAATTTTGTAGTGCTAAGTCACAGCTGCATGGAGCCATACCTTCTGATATTTATTCTCCTTGTGCATCTT